TGCTTTGCCTGCCCAGTCGGTCTTCGTACTCGCCGCTCTTGCGGCCGATGAACTCCAGCAGACTCACGTCCACGCCCGTGTCCCACGTTGTCACCGAGGATTCCGCTTGTTTGAACAATGACCATCGTCCGGTGAAGTAAGTGGGCACTGGCACGTAAGCGTTCACCACCTGCAAGGCTTTTTCCAGTTTGGCCGTATATTGCCCGAGGATCGTAACGCCTTCTTCGGGGCTCAGCACTTTAGTCCTCGCCAATTCCGCCAAATAACGATCGGGGATCGAGCTGCTCGTACGATTTCGTAATAAGGATGTTTTATCTTAATACGGATATTCAGGGGGATTATATGGTTTTGGAGTACGGAGGTAGCGAGGTCCTTCTAATGCAGGACCTAGCCAATATGATAAATAATAGCGTGTGCTTTACTCACGGTCTGTTGCGTATTATTTTATAGACAAGTGGATTCGTGAAGGTCGGATCGTCTAGTTCGTTGTGCCCCCACAGCCTGAAACAATTTAAATCCACGAAAACATCTTTTCGGAATGTCCTCTGATAGTTGAACGCTATTCTCGCAGCTCTTACAACCATCTAAAATAGTCGCACAGGTTGGCTAAGCGCAATGTTCATTGTCACCGAGCATCGTACGCGACTACTTACCTCAGGATCATCCGCATTCACGTGAACGACCGGCGATGAGACAAATTTCGCCAAGTCCGTGCAATACCTCGTGGACCTGCCACGGGTTGCCGGGGTTGTAAAGCCTAATTGATTGTTTATCACGAGGTGAATGGAGCCACCGATTTCGAAATGCGGCGTCCCACTATTCCTTGGCCCGGATAAGCCGCGTCACCGTGGACCTTTTCAACATCATCATTAAATCTATCTCCGAGTTTACTATCGAGATGTCGGTTATTTAATAAAAATCCCGAATAAGATATTCACATTTAGAATCGTATCGTGCTCTACGCCTACAATCAAAACTCAAGGTCGCCGAGCAGTGTTTTGCCGGGCGTTCAATTCCTAAAGTAAAAGTAGCCTACCTGGACATTCAGCACCTTGTCGCTCCAACGCGCGTTGATATTCTCGGAGTAATCGCCATCGCCGAGTATCTGCATGAGTGCTCTGGTTCGTCCCATCGAGACGGGATTGACAGCCTCCAAGTGCGAGGGATTCGGGACCATACTCACGCGGACACTGCGGCCGTCCACTCTAAAGTCTAGCGTCGATACGAAGTGGGTGGCTACGTCACCGGTGGCCTTGGCGCTCGCCGGGAACTCCTGCATACCCCTTAATTTGCTGAAGAGCTTCTCCAGGGGAAACTTCATGATGCCAGCGAGTAAGCTCAAGCGGCCGCGATGCGGCATACAAAGGACGATTTCTTCCAGGGTATCTGTAACAACGATCAATATAAATCATACTATTCGGAAATGGCCTTGCTACGATCAACTAGAGGCCTTCCAAACGTCTCGGATGAGGACGCTAACAGAGATGGAATTAATAAGAGATCAAACTAGACTCGCAGTGCATTACCAATACTCCGCGAGAAGAACATCCAATACCTATCAAACATCGGTAAGAAATCTTCAGGTCGTTCAATCATCGTTTCCCCAAAAAACATTCCATTACAACGAGTTTAAAATTTAAAAAATGTCGCTATTAGAGAAACAACGCAATCTGGTAACGAGCCACAAACTCTGCATCGCGCGCTTAAAAAACGACATGGACGTCTGCAGAAAATCCAGAAAATGCAAAAGGTGCTACAAGGATCACCGTACTCTGCTACGTGAAAAAAAAAAAAAAAAAAAAAAAAAAAAAAAAAAAAAAAAAAAAACAAGGCAGAATCAGAGACGATGGTGCAATCATTGACATACAAGTGCATTCTACCACATCATTGCTCGCCCCTGCCATGGTCATCATAAAAACTACTAAAGTACAAGTTCGTCTCCTCATCGACACAGGCTCTGAACTTTCATTCAATTCAACGAGAACCTCATCAGACAACTCAATATTCTCAAAAAACATTCCATCATTTACATTCGTGGTTATTGGTAGGAGGGAGGAAGGGGAGGAAGGGGAGGGGAGGGGGGGGGAGAGAGATTATAAGTCAAATCACCCACTCTCCACTCGATCCACTCGAAAGCCATAGTCATCATACAGCCTCACATTCCTAACTCATTAATATCGGTAATTTTCTTTCCTTTGAATCAACTTCACACGATTGGCCACACTGGAAAAACTTAACATTGGCCGATCCGCAATATATTTTACACCTGAATCAGTAGACATAATTCTTGGACGAGTGGACATATACTGGCAGATAATAAAGTCCCGCGTCATCATCCCTTCTCCGTCCATGCAAATGGCGTAACTATTCGAATTAAAAACTAACTAATTACCAACTAACTAACTCACCAATGGCTGCTTGCTTGAACAATTCGTGAAAGAAAGCCATCATGCTCTCGGCTCCCTCGCCCCCGTATCTTTTCGTGCTTGAGAATTTCACAGCCAGAAATCTCTCGAACGCTTGGCTCTTCAGCATTTCTCGAGCTATGGCTCGTTTCGTCTGGTTGTCGATTGGTTGGTAAAAGCTCTCCTCAAAATTTTTCGCAAACCATTCTCTCTCTTCCTCGGTCTACAATATTATTATCGAATGGATTGGCCTGACAATACATATATATTTACTACATATGATACATATGATAAATATGGTAGAATCTTTATGGTTAGGTTGATTGTTTAGTTGCCAATGTTATATGACATTGTCTCTGAATTAGTATTGGAGATTTGTATAAATACAGAATAAGGTAGTGATAGTAATTTAATGTGATGATTGGTCTGAACTAGTTCGCTTTGCACGCTGTATTTTTACCTCGAGATGACTGAATTCTGCAGATATCGTGCTGCTGTAAATTGCTTTCAAAATGCCAATGGCCTCACTCACGCTTCCCTCAGTTCTGTCAACGTGCAGTAGACCCTTTAATGGCACGTGGTCGGTTAAATCGAGACCGAAGCATTGAGGTTGCAATTCGGGAAGTGGCGGCGGTGGCTTCGAGAGCGAAATTGGATTAACGTTTGCTTGCTTATGGCCGTGTTCTCGATAAGCGCTGAGAAATCTATAAAAATTACTGTATTTCGAGCGCATCTTCAGCTCTTCGTCTGGAACTGATATAATACGTATTGTAAATATTGTCAATTCTACGCCCTTCTGTGATTATGTTATGATTATGTTTTGTTTAGTTCTTCTTAATTAAAACAATAATGTCGATATACTTGACTCGGTAATTATCTTACAATTATGAAAAATATTCCCGATGATTTTATGAAATAGAAAGGTAATAATTTCTTCTTTTTAATATTATCGAAAAATATACTATTTCGAGTGACACTGCTTATATAGTATAATAAACATATTGAAACTTAAATGTATATTTAACATATAAGCCGAATTGTTTAAAGTAAATTTTCATAAATTTGCGTCAAAGTATTTTAATTAAAAATGTATATCATTTGTATATTATTAATTTCTTTCTTTTATTCTTACGATTCTTTTGAATCTATCGATACGTCTATCATTATATTATATACTAAATCATAATATTAAAAAAAAATTGCGAAACCACATTTGACATTTAATTTCAATATTCTAATTCAACCGATGGGATAAATTTATCCCCTTGCGAAAATAATATATTTTTCTAGAATATTTTTTACTTCTATTACATCAGCATGTTTTTATTCGTCTATTTTGCAGTTTTTTTTTTTTTTTTTTTTTGTACGAGTTTGTTTGATGCTAATTAATAAAATAATTTCTTCATTATCAATGACTATAAATTTTGATTATTTTTAACAGTACTGAAGAGCATTGAAACGTTTTTATATTTCTATCGTTTGACGAATGGTCATTGAGGTATAACAAAGGTTTTTTTTATTATTTTTATAAAAATAATACTTTTTCCACGTATTATTAATTATATTACGGTTGTAGCTATTATGATTATCAATAATTTAACGCCCGAGATAAAATATAACGAATGCTTGTATAGTATATTTTATTAAATAGAAAACGATGACGAAGTCGAATGGCATTTGGCTAGAGATGAAATTGCAAATAGCTACGGTAATATTTATTAATATTAATCATTTATCTATTCACCATAATATTTCACATTAACAAGTGAGCTCGATAATTTTAAGCATCACTACAATACGAAAACCATAGCTGTTTTATTATTTTTCCCTTACTTTTTTCTCCATAGTGTCTGTTATTCATACGCGTACTCCCACTTCCCCTCTTATTCCATTCGTCCTTATAGTATTATAATATTTGCAATAGAGTCTGATTTAATATCATAATTCATCGTCCTTAGTTTTCTTCGGTAATTCGACTTTGTAGAACAGTATGGGGAAAACTATTCGTGAGAAATCTACGATCACATTTACATTTTCTATTTGTCAAGTGTCAATGAAAAATTCAATTTCACCTGTTTATTTAACTGATATGTACTCTTATTTTAAATTAAAAAAAAAAATCCGTTATAAAAGAATAAGATGTCTAAGAACCCATGAACGTACTCTTTAAAATGCGACTTTAAATAATCATATAATCAATCAATTTGGCATTATCGTAGATAATTAATGTTCGGCCACTGTATAGACCATTTTATAAACATGTACCAGCATTTTGCAAATACTTATTATTCATAGAGATTAGGATGACGAGTGGAAAGAGGATGGCTGATTCGGATCAGGGATGTTGGTTGGGTACATGAGATGCAATATTCCATAAATACAATGACCAGTCACGTTGATATATTATCCTTTTTATTATTTTACATTACACTCGTATCGGTAAAAATCGATATTTGCATTTAATATGTATGTATGCATGTATATATATATATATATATATATATAAAGCACCTCATTGTATGAAATTTTATGAACAGGAGAAAAGGCATTAAAATATTTTAAAGCAATGTGCTAGATTTTTAATTTAATTGACACTTTAATTTTTATTATTATCCATATTGATTTTTTTGTTGTTGTTTTTAATATAAATTTGATATTGTGATATTATTAACGACATTTGTGTCAACCACGGGCATGCGTATACCACACATATTCCTATTATGTATTATGTATTATTATTCATATTATTCATATTATTAACTGAAAAGTTTATCACTTCTTATGAAGATGAAATTCTATCAATTATGATTGGTTAAAAAAAAAAAAGGAAAAATAATGTTGGCCTCTGTCGAAGGATCTATTAAATTTATCTCAAAAATATAATATTATCTGTCACGTTATTAACTTAAAAAAAAAAAAAAAAAACTGAAAGAAAAGAGCGAAAGCGTTATCGGCTCGAATGAATTGAAGCAAACACCTTCGTTACGCATTTTATTTAGTTATTGCCAATAATATTTTTTCACTTCGCTTCTGCATACACGCACAAAGGGCAATGTCAATTTTCGAAATTATTAATAATTAATATCGATTAATTAAAAATTAAAAAATGAGTAATAATTAAATGATTGAGTAACGATTAATTAAAAATTAAATTTACGACATTTTCAACACAACATGCGAATGCAACACCTACGCATTAAAAATTGAAGGTTAAATCGATCAAAGTTCCGCAACTAATAGCTCGAAAAACAAAAGCTAAATAATTAAAAATTGATATTGTAATAAGCGCGCGCTCGTTTAGCCGAGAGATAGTTAGTTTATCGCTTGTGCAACAACCTTCAAATTCTCTTGGGGCCTTCTCCCGATGCCCGTAGACGCCGGGCCCACTGTTGTAAGTCCTTTGAGGCGTTTTCCGATGGTTGCCCCTCGCCTCGGTGCGACTCTGCCATCTTGACGGCCGCTCGGCAATTTCGCGCCTGTGAGCCGAAACTTTTACGAAATTTCTGTACATGTTAAGCGCACGAAAATCCATGTATCCGGGTGCAGTGATCCAAGCTTTCCGTGCAAGATTATCCGTTAAAGCGATGTAATCGGAGCTTTAGCATTAAAGGAAAATGCTGGTCAGTTGCTCGTGTCCTACGATTGAAGCTTCGAGTTCCAACTCCACATTATTACTGGTGCGTGATTCTCTGACTTTAGCTTAATTCTTATCTGTTTACTTACGTATAAGTGGACGTGTAGGGGGTATCGGCCGGGTCGTTAGCCAGTAAGGAGTTGCCTCTTTCGTGTCGCATAATCACAATTGGATTTTACTGCTTTTTGCCAAAATGCGCACCAACGCGTGTTTAGGAACGGATATGTAAGAGCAATTGAGAAAGTATTGTGAAACGAATATATTTTTATTCAAATTTTAATATACGATCCACTGGGCACGCATAATTATTGTTATTATTGTTATTATTATTATTATTATTATTTGTTTTTTTGCCTTTATAAACAGAAAAAGAAATTTAATGTGTACGGGAATTATAATATACGAATTATTAATTTTGTAAATCATAATGTATTATGGCAATATAATTAATTATCAATTTTGCATTGGCATACTCTTGAATATCAAATTTAAAATCAATAAATTATTTTCATTTAATATTAAATCAATGGCACAAATAACCTTATATGTATTATTGAATAAAAAATAATAAGCATAATTTACATTGTCGTAATTTATAATTTTGCGATATATTGTGAATATCGTATAGAATTATATGAAATAATGTTTAGCTTATTTTTTGAAATGGCTGTCTTTATTTATATGTGAAAGCAATCGTCGCATGGAAAACATTTGTAATAATTGATAAAAAAATCAATTATATCAATGTAAAAGCAACAGCACCAAAGCGAACTGGAAAGTTTCGCTTAATATATATAACATATAAATTTCACATAAAATATAATTTTGTTTTTAAATTAACGTTTAAATTAGCCCTCAAGTTTTGTATACTAAAATTTTGTATAATAAAATTATTGTTTAATTGATAACGTGAACATTGTTTGATACATAAAAAAAAAAAAAAAAAAAAAAAAAAAATTAAAAAAAAAAGTCATCACAGTGAACGTTTATATAGTCTAAATAAAACATTATTTATCTCTACAATGCAATATCAAATGAATCAAATGTTTATTCTTAAATATTTGAAAATACGGATATTAAAATGTTTACTGCATTTTGAATAAATTTGACGTCTATTAGATTTTCAATAAGAAATTGTATTGTTTGCTTAAATTAATTGACTACAAAGCAATGATATTCTGCACAACGTGCCTTATTATTATTCAAAAATACAAAAAAACAAATAAGAGAGAAAAATTCATAGCAGGCGAGAGTTCTGTCTGTGTCCTCGGTTCCTCATTTTTCCTCCCATAATATATATATATATATATTCTGATTAAATGTCCCTATCAGTGCGAGAAACACAGTGTGCGCGTGTGTGCGTGCGTGGGCGTGTGAGTGTTGGCGGGCCAGTCAGCCGTTATTATCACAATGCAATAAATATCGACTGGCATTACATTACTACATTTTTCCTGTTTAATGTCCATTAATACCAATAGTTTTCCATTTTTATTTTACGTGAAGGAGTAAAAATAGAAATTACAATGAGAATGAAAATAGCATTAAAATGGAAATTTATTGTGAAAAGAGTCGTTTGATATTACAAGATATTTGTAATGATTTTAAGGACAAGACTTCGAGACTTATTATCTTCTTAATTATCTTTCTAATTACAGTCGCTCGTTCTCTTTATTTTCAACATCCATCATATCCACAAAAGATCACAATTTCCATTCAAAATTATCGATAAAATTAATTTAAGTTTCGTACATTTTTTAATTTTCATAAATTAGCATAGAAATTAAATCATAAATAACATCTTTTATTATATTTCATGCAATTTACATATTAATTGAGAAGCGAAAATAACGTAATTATTTTAGTATCGTCAGTTGAAGCGGAAAAAGATCATATCTCATTTATACGAATTTACATTATTACATTTTCACATTCTTTAAGGGTTAATCGATTTTTATGAATGCATCAGATGAAAGAAGTTGCTACTTTCTGTATAAATATTTACAATTCTTATTACACTTGTACTCCAAAATTATGTTTTTACTTACACGGGCAATCAATTGGTCCATAAAAAATAAATTATCGAATTTTAAAAAAGCAATGGCCTGCAAAGTTTTTGCCTTATATCGGATTATCCGGCAATTTTTTAATTATTATTTTGTACAGGAGAGTTATCTAGATGCTGGGATAAGCTGAGCCAATAAGATCTCTGCCACGGTATCTGAACTTGTGGGTGATGATGTTGAATTTTGTACCGCCGAGGGAGACGGGGCACGGTTTTTCCGATCTTGCGAAGAAGCAGACCGTGTAGAGGGCCATTTCTAGTTCAGGTGACGTGCCCACGAAGATGTCGGTTACGGGTTTGTCGATGCCGTCGAACGTCACGTGTGCCTTCACGATCGCCGCTTTCTGCAATATTCATAAAAATTACGTATTTATTAGTTAATGAGGGCTCGCGAAATATCTCGCCAGGGACGTACAGATTTTCACGGATAATGCAATGAACTGAAATGGTGACTGAAATCGCTCGCAAACAGAGACAACAATATTTGTTTAATTTCATAGCTATAAAATCTCACGGCTGTACTTTTACACGTTTATTCGAAAAAGCAGCATTAAGAAAAAGATAATTTTTGAATGTCTTATCGTAAGAGAGAGAGAGAGAGAGAGAGAGAGAGAGAGCAGACCATGTGAATATTGTGAATTGTGTATTGGCCTTTGAGAGTAGACGTTTGTTGTTCTTCCTCTCAATTTTCTCCATAAGTATCGTTCGTAAGTAATGAGTAGGTTAAACTACAAGAAGCTCTCGCACAAGTCGTCAATGCGGAAACGGAACTTTATAAGTGTGGGTATGATCGAATCACACAACCATTCAATTATTCAACTTTAGCCCATTTTCTCAATGTCGGACTCGAGTATTGAATCCACTGCCCATCATGGACTATCTTAAAAATCGGAGAATTCGTTTGAATTAACCAGGCTTAAGATTAATTTAATACGCAATGTGATTTAATAAGCAGAATGATCCCGTCCAAAGTTCAAAGCTCTTTTGTGCTCGAAATAATGATAATAGCGACTAAGTGGCAAACGGAGGAGCTGGAAAATGACGAACGACGTGGCGCAACTCACATTGCCAAGGTCGACTTTCTTAATGTAGCCGAGATAATTGAGTCGCTTCTTCAGCTCCTCGGCGTTGAAGTAGATCCAATTGTGCAGACCGGAGACTTCGGTGCCGAGCTTGAGCTCGGTGAGGAACACGTGCTCGAAGCCGCTACTGCCGATCTTCCCCTCGCCCCTCGAGTACAGATTGAACCAGAGTGTCCGCAGCGTGTCCTTGTACTCGTAGTAGTCCTTCTTGATGAAGCCCTTGTCCGCGAGGAAGCGCATCGCCGCCGACATGAGGTTCGTGCTGAGGAACGTGTCGACTAGGAGGCTTTCCTCCTGGCGCTGGGCCGGGCTTATGTACTCGTTCTCACGCGTGTCCAGCTTGTAGTTGTCGTAGATGTCCAGGACTTTTCGAATGGTCGGCAGTTGCAGAGCTTCGGGCTTGACTTGAAGTAGCCTATGACAAATTGATCAAGAGAAAGTTTATACCTTCAAACAAGCAATAATAAATTGTATGAAAATCTTTTCGATTCCCAATACAATTTATACCGTTCAAAATGATTTTGAGCTTCGAAATTTTGTAAAATTAATGCATAATTTCCACGTCGTCCACTGGCGAATCAAGACACAGTCTCGAATCCTTTAAAAAACACAAGGACTTTAAAAGGCTCCTCCAAAGTAAAATTATCCGAATCGACTTTGTTATTTCGGAATTAAACGATTTACGAAACTTGATACAGAGCCTAAGAATTTCCAAAAAAAAAAAAAAAAAAAAAAAAAAAACCATAAAATAAAAAAAAAAAAAATAAAAAAAAAAAATAAAAAAGAAAGAAAAACGGCAACTCACGGCTGCACAGCCTCGTCCTTTGAATTACTACCGGTGGTCGTCTTTTGGAGATTGAGAGTGATGTACTTGTTGGCGTTGTTCACGTCCTTGATGAAAAGCGCCTCGGAGAGCTTCTGAAGGTCCTCGTCGGTGATGGCATTGCCCTTACTATAGGTCGGATTGCTCGAGAAGACCTTGCCGGAGTTGGAGGTCGCGGCCGCCCCGGCGAGGGCCGCTCCACCGATCCCGGCAGCTCCAATTGCCGCCCCGGTCGAGATGCTGGGACGTCCAGACTGGCCGGCGTTTCCCGGCTGTGGATGTACTAGGGAGAAAAACGCTTATATTGATTGTTCGATACTCCATGGAATGAAATTCAATTTTAAATAGAAACAATTTATAGATAAGATTAACTGCCGTACGGGACTTTGGAAATTTTAAAAGACTTTTGTTGGCTCCATTAGTTTCATTATGCTTTACAATGAATCTTCTTTCTTTCTTTCTTTCTTTCTTTTTCTTTTATGTCTGTCTGCATGTTTGTTTGTTTATTTTGGTTTTTATAGAAACGATACGTATTTTTGTTTTATTATTATTATTATTATTATTATTATTATTATTTTTTTTTTTGGAATCGTTACTCGTCACGAAAATTATATCGCGCAGAACGTGACTTTTCATATACCAATATAAAATACCTTTATATATTGAAAAATCGAATGTTTATTAACACTTCGTATGGATTTACGCATCGTTTGTATTATATTGTTATTAAACAATGCAAAGAAATGATTTTTTTTTTTTTGTGAAAAGAAAATTTTTTATGACGATACACGATCAAATTATTATGAAAAATTTATATCTTTGAATCGGATTATTCCGATTATCCGATTGCCGTTCTTATTTTCTCTTTGGTTATTCGGTGTTGCGTAATAAAGTGATAAGTTCTGTGGGACAAATTTCATAAACGAGAGCTTAAATAAACGAAAATTTCGAATATTCGGAGAATAAATTTACCAATTAAGAGATTTCTTTACTATATTTCTTATCATAATCATGCATGAGACAACATAAATATTAAAATATCATCTAAAATGTCAAGCAAACGAAGTAGCATGATATTATAGTAGAAATAATATGATGTAAATGAAGCGAAATAAGAGAAAGCCAATATTAAATAAATCCAGTCGTAAAATAATAATAAGCATCTCGGTTCGATTTCTTATAACAATACATTTTTTTTTTTTTTTTTAAATGACAAATAAGAGCTTTGATCGACTGCTTTAAATTCGGCCAAGTTGAGCTGAGTTTGTAAAAATTCTTTGAAATAATATTGCCCTCGCGAGAAAGCTTTGCTTATTATTCCAAAATTTACGTGTAACGAAGTAGCGATTATTTTATGGGAAGAAAATTGAATATCAATGGGCTTATATTCGAAGTAACACCATTAGAAAGTCAAGTTGATTCGTCTCGAAAGTGTTAATGGGCACAGACGTGATGCCATTCACGCGAGGCCATTTATCTTAACGAACCGTATTCACTTAACTGTTTCTTCCTTAGAGCACAAATGGTTGAAAAGAATTTCCAAAAGTACCATATCATCGAGCTGGCCTAAGGCAATTTAAGCATTCGATCAATATTACTAATCGTCCTTACTAATGGCGCTTTAGTAATGTGTGGCACTTTGCGAGCTGTCGCATACATCGGACGCACAATCGCTCGCAAATGGCTTGACCATTACTACGGACTGTCGCTCTACCAACCAGACGGATGCTGTCCAGGTGTCGTTGGGCTCGGGGTCTGGGCTCTCAGGCCGGGAATCGGCAATTCGACTCGATTTCCACCGTCGGCGACTCCGTTCCAGTTCTTGCTATCCACGGCCGAACCTGCTTTCGACTGTGGCGTCTCTGGTTTTGATTTCGGCTGCGAGGCCGGGATCGAAGGGCGTGCGATTGGCGTTGGCACTGAACTAGGCGCCCGGGTAGACGCCGTCGTCTGCGACGTCGCGGCTTTATTACCAATTTTCCCTGCATCAGTCAATGATAACAATTAAGTATTCGTAATTGTGATCTCGTGATTTATCGAGCCTTACATAGGCAGTCTTAAATCGACGGGCCCATGAGATTTTTACCGTCGTATCGGGAGATCCTGAAGAGATATTGTAGGATTTTTCGTAGCGTATGGTGTGGCTTCGAGCAGGATCGTTCGCGCTCGATATATCATGAAAATTTTACGAATAAATCGCGAAACGTGAAATGCAATAAATAGTTGCAGCAAGCGAAAACTGACCAATGAACGTACCGCGAATGGATTTTAGTTTAATTCCCGAAGTATAGAATTTAAATGGAAATTCTAATCAATGAGTTTCGATAGAGCAGTGGGAACAGTTTTTGCTAATTAAATTTATTTGTAAATTATTTGTGTATGTCATAGAGTGTTTTAATGAGTAGAAATTTTAATGAGACGAAGTAACATTACATTACATTATTTTCAAACAAAGTCATTTGAATTAGTGAAAATACAGTAAATTTTTAATTTTTAATCGTTTTTCTCTTTCTCTTTTTTAAACAATTAGTTTATATATACCTGGCGATCCAGCTGGTTGTTGGCCATGCGAGGAGGTATCGGGATGAGACGCTGGCTTATTATCTACTAAGATAATTATTTATTCAACAAACACAAAAACATAGTATTGAACTATAGATAGGTATGGAAAAAAAAAAAAAAAAAAAAAAAAAAAAAAGAATGGACATGAATAATTTATCGTGACATTGTTAACTATATAATTTGTATAAATAAAACAAAGAACGTGTCATGCTAGAGCCTTTTCAAATTATGCATTTAATCTTGAGATCGTCATTACATATAATTATCATTATAATTATAATTATCAATTACATATAATAAATTTAATTGTATAATCAATTAATCGTATAACGTCCATTGAAAAGGGAATAAATAGCCTGTACAATATTATTATTTTATTATAACAATTAGCCCAATCTAGTGAACAATATCTTATGATACTTCTCATCGTGTTACTTTCAGTAATTTTATGAATCAATATGTCACGAGTAGTTTATTGACCATCGGATCTATTGTAAATTGCAAGTCAAAGGACCGTTATCCTCTTGGAGTAGAATTTACGAAGGGCACCAAGTCGCAGCGAAATTGATAAAAAAAATCTGAGGTGGCTGAAGGTGCGCTCGAGGGTACTAGCAGCGATATAGGAGGGAAAATGCTTGACGAACCTGTACCGTGATGCGGATTGTCCGGCTTCGTAATGGTCTTCTGCTCCTGCATCTTGGACTTATCCTTGATGGTGCCGGCCTCGATGCCTCCAAATTCGGCGGCCCAATTCTTGTAATTGGTACCGGTGGCGGCCTTGGGTGGTCCGCTATCGATGGCAACTTCCGTGCCAGGATTTGGCTTACGAGGTTGGTTCCTCGGCGACTCGCCGCTCTTGGGTCCGAGGTTGCCGACACCAATGGCCAGGGCCGGATTAACGGCCGCGGCGATGCCCTTGTTGGTATGGCTCGGGGGTTCCATGAGCTCTTGGCTGGACGATTTCGGGGTCGTCGAGGTCAATTCATCCTTCTTTTTCCAAAATTTCCATGCGCCGACATCTGCCGTTCATGAGAAATCGATTATTTTATTTTTTTTATTATTTTTTTTTTTTTTTATTTTTTTTTTATTTTATCCCTTTCGATATTGACGTAGATTAAAAAGGAAAGTTTTTGGCACGATGCTTTATCTAACTGCGTATTGGGTCTGTTTAAATTGAAGGAAATTAAACGAACGAGCTGTTTACTTTGTCAGAAATTGGCAATAACACTGCGAGACGAATGGGTTATCATATAATCGTTAAAACGACCAGGACACGTAAGCTTGTTAGACAGAGTATGACTTTAAGAAGCACACTCATTAACAAGTTGAGAAATAAATATCTCAATATTAAATAATTAAACGGTAATTTTATTTTAATTTATTCAATAATTGGATGACATTTTTCTTTCTTTCTTTCTTTCTTTCTCTTTTTTATAGGTACAAAAATGGTTTAATTTTTTAAGTGAGAAGAATTTTTATATCTTTTGTCTTTGATGTATATTTATTATATTAAAGTATTTGTCCGGCTGATTGAATAATGTTTTTACTAATGTACACAGCGAAGGCAAATATTTTCGACTATATTACACTGAGAATTAATTGATTAATCAGTCGAATGTAATGCTTAATGCTGGCCTCTAAATAGTTATCTAAATACCGTTTACCTTATAATTGTAAAAGTGATAGAAATTCATTTTCCTAAAATAAACAATCGAGATAAACCTTGACCGATATCTATTATTATTGTTGTTATTGTTGCTGGATGAATCACTAAACTGATGCAATAGAGATAATTTTTTCAAGTTCATTAATGGAACAGCTTACACGGTAAGGACAAAATTGGGAAAATTATTGGAAATGTGTTGAAATTCTTAATTAAATATTCTTAAAACTGTTAGAAACTATTCAACTTTAAAAGATTCATTTACAAAATATCTTATCTACTATATAGGCTATACCCGTTAATTTCTATGTTGATTTGCATTTTAATTTAAATGCACTTAAAGTGTAAATTGTACATACATTTCGCGTACTATTTGTAAATATATTTTTCGCGATGATTCAAAATATGTAGATAAGCAATAAGTAAATTAATGATAATAATAAAAGAAACAAACAGAAATAAAAAAAAAAAAAAAAAACAAAAAACAAAACAAAATAAAAATAACATGGAAAATTTCAATATTATAATAATTATATATCTATAATAAATTATTTAAAATATCGAGTTGTGAACTTTTATAATCAGGGTTATCATTATATCGTAAAAGATTGTAAATCGTTTTTTTTAGATTAAAGAAAAAAGAATGAAAAAAAAAACTACTTTTTTCTATTATTATTACTTTTGTTTATAGATGATAAAAGTACTTGTAAAATAATCTAAGCAACCGCACAATTGACTAACGATAAATAAACAATAAAACATAATGAAAAGAGCCAATAAATTGACAATATAAAAATAAAAAATAAAAATTTTTTTATACCTCAATATCAATAATTTGTCGAAACGACCAATTGACGTTGGTTATTGCTATATATTACATTTATTTTGCCTCTGTGCTTATAAACACTCGTCCTTATGAAAATGTCCTTAGGAAATATTTTATTAAATCACCAGAGTCAGTTAACTCAACGCTCTTAACAAAATTCTACTTATTATCCTAAATCGCATACGAAATCCGCAGTTTTAAACGATACTCTAATCTTACAAGATTTTTCCTAATATAATAAAACTATAATATTGTATTTTGAAGAATTTTCTTTCGATGTCAATATGTATTATCGTAATGGGAACGCGCATCGATTGCCCATTCTTTCATCCCAACCGAAGGATAATAACCGCAAGAATTAATAGATTAATTGGTCAAATGAAATATAATTTAACCAAGGCATTCAAATACATCAAATACATTAATTCGCTATCTCTATCAAATCCAATAGAGCGAGCATCCATTATCGAACGCTCGACACAAAGTTTGGTCGACCGCTTTTGCAGGACGCTCTGTCTCTATCTACCAACGAAATAACAATCTTCCTCGTCGACTAGATCCACGAGCATCCCAAACTATCGAGCTTCCCGACGAGCCTATAATAACATTAATTATTCACGGAAGAATCTCGCGAGCCATAGCAGCGTAAACACGAACACAAAATCAGAGATCAGAGATTAATGTAAAAGCGCCAGGTAACAACTTACCGACGACCAGCGACAACAACGCCAGGAATACGAGGAAGTACAGAACTCTCATGATCACGATCGATCCGCTGCTCCTTATTGGCAACGCTCCTCGAGCACAGACTCGAGATCGACTGGCGGCTCGAGGAGGAGGCGAAATCGGTGGCCTCGCACGCTCGCCTCGACGGCAACACTTTCCCTCGTGTCGGACCTCCCATTGGTCCCTCCCAACGCGCGAAATAAAAATGCAAGATATCCGGCGCTGCTGGAGTGCCGTGTTTCAGATGATATCACCGCTCGCCGGGGACTGGACAAGGCCAAGGCGATCGTGCTCAAGCGCATTTTCGGGAACGAGCCAAGGGTACAGCAAGAACGCCCACGCACTTCCGGCTTCTTTCCAAAGTTCATTAAGGACGGAGAAGTGGGAGTGCGGAGCTGACCGATGTACTCGCTCCCATAGGTCGGACGATTTTATTAATTCCAGCGATGGATTGATAATTACATGTAGCTGGAGTTGGTGCTTCGGGCTGAGCGAGAACCCGTTACGCCAGGGATATCGGTGAAGCTGCTTTTCATTCATAACAATAGATAACAAATCGTATAGTCATCGCGATGGGGGGGGGGGTAAGAAATGTGTAATAAATGATGAAATCGTCAATGATGCTTTTTTTTTTTTTTATCATCGGTATAAATGGTTAGTTCTTAATGTTTGGATGGAGCGAAAAATTTGTTTGCTTTATGTAGATCGGTAAAATGAATATAAATTGAGCGTGAAGGGTAACGGCATTACGGCGGCTCGCTCGTTTCCTTGGAAAATTCACTTATTACGAAACGTCGTTAATTTTCTGAAGCGTTAAACCTTCAACTTATTTTTCAGCAAACGTTCGTGTGTTTAACGGCAAAATAGAAAAATTGCTCGTACGATGTAGAAAATTAAAATCGATGATACTCGATGTGTTAAAATTGTCATGATAAATAATCAATTTTCTCTTGATTATACGTCCAGCGCATTAAAGTGATCGCTGAGCTTGATTCCTGTCCCTCAAGTTCCAATAAAGTATGTGTATTAAATTATTAGAGTAATAATAACTATTTTTGGTTTGCTATGTAATGTGAAAATGAGTTGAAATCGTTGTATGAGAGGGGATAATTATTATAAACTAAAATTCTCTTTTTAAACGTTATAAACATGATGTATTGTCGTACATTGCGATTGAATTCTCTATAAAAGATCAATTTCTTTTATCATTACAATGTACTTTTTTTTTTGTTTTTTTTTTTTGTTTTTTTTTTGCTTTTAACCAAAAACATTATGAATGGGCGACTAATCGTTGCAGATTATTAAAAATCTCAAACTATTAAAAACAAAACATCATTTAGCACCAAATTATTCACGTACGTATTTAAAAAAAAAATATATATATATCGTTTAATTATCGTGTCAATGCCGACAAATTCGATTGAAACATACGATTTGACGATTTTTAATGATATTTTTATCTTAGCTTTAAAAAATTATTGTTTACGAAATAATATTTATTTTTTAATATCGAGGCGGACGAATTTCCTTAGAAAAATTTTGAATATATCGACGATTATGTTTGCCGTTTAGTAAAACATAATCATATTCAATCATATTTTTATTAATTTCCGAGATAAAAATATTTAAATAAGAAAATAGAAGAAAACAAAGATCTATACTTGTATTATGATTTACAAGTAACTAGATTTAGTTATGTATATATATAAATTATTATTTATCGAGTACTCAATATAATTTATATTAATATATCGGAGAATATTTTGTTGACCGCATTTGGTATCGCAAATATTAATTATTTACTTATTTAGAAAATACGATTTAATTATTTATTATTAAATTGTTATTCGGTAAGTAAATCACAAGCTTTATTTGTCATTGAAGCTTCCGAGGGGTTTATTCGTCAGTTATACGATAGTGCCGATGATATATTTTTATCAACTTCTAGGTCGGGTCATCAGTTTCATTACATATCTAATGGATTAATAAACGCTTAATTTTTCAACAGAAAATCAAGTCATCTATCACATCGTATATTATCTTACCTACTATTTCTTATCTATACAATTGCATAATAATTTTTGTCCACGCGTATTCTTCAATAATTAGCAAAGTATTATTTATTTACAAAATACAGAGTATTACGCTTAATGATAATTATTTTAACATTTAAAAGTCCATAGTCATTTTACGATTAAAGAAAAATATATGGCAGCCCATAGAAGAAAAAGGATAAATAGAATAATCATACTCTTCGTTCGGAAACTGTCCCATCCAATCAATATGTGTCTACAGCTTTTAATTGGAGGCACACCACAAGCCATCTAAAATATACATTAAACTTAAGATTTATCGATGTAAATAATAATATTAATAGTGATTTATTTATTTATTTGAGATTATGTATAAAAAAAAATAATAATAACAATAATAATAATAATAATAATAATAATAATAATAATAATAATAATAATAATAATAATAAAGCTCATTTAATTTTTTATTATACTACAGGTAATAAAATGGCTATATAAATAAAATGTGAATAAAATCAATGGGTATTAAATGTATTGTCATCATTCGCATTTTACAATCATTTTCTACATAAATAAATAAATACTAAATAAGTTAATTTTTATATGATATTATATAAGGTCTTGGATTTCGATGAATTATATTAGAAATGAAGCATTGGAATTCAAATACTTTAATATGATAGGGGCTAAATATATATATATATATATATATATATATGTGCGTGTGTGTGTGTGTGTGTGTGTGTGCGCGCGCGCGCGCGCGTGCATACTCAAATGATTAATGCATGTAAGTAAGAATTATATTTGCCAGAAAGAAGATTAATTATCGTCGTATAAGATCTAAACGAATTTTACGAACGGTGCCTTAATGAATATCGATTTCATCATATCACGCATTTTGAACATAGGAATTATTAATTTTCTCAATTTTGTTAATAATTGTGATTTATGTCATTTAAATAGAAAAGATTGCATAAACGAAAAAAATATCTTGATGTGTAATGAAGAAAAGAGCTTAAAGTAGCACACGATTGTGGCATAAAAAAATTGGCAGAATAACATTGAAAAAATTAGATTATTCGAAAAGGAAATGTCGATTAATTGATTAGGTTGTATTAGATGTTAAATAATTGTTCTCTCATTCAAGAAATCTTCCTACCTTTGCTTATAAGTATTATCGTACGTGTATATATATATATATATATATATACGTACTAATGGATACACGGGCGAACACGCAGGAACGCGCACACAATCGTCTATTTACTTACTTATTTATCTAATTAATACTGGGATCTGAGAATTGTCGCAAGGGAACGTTAAAAATATCGGTCTTATGAAGATTATATAGAGTTCGTTGAACAATTTTATTTTTAGTATTCTAACCTCACGCTCTGTTGGACATTCGTCGAAATTGTTAGTTAACCTCGTGACGCTATTTGACGGTCGCATCTCTATTTGAACAGCTTTATCTCGAGTTAATTGCGTCGACTTACTTTTCACTAATGTAAACGTATCAAATATTATATTAGTCGAAGCCGGGAAAGCTATGATTCTGTCGTCGTCATTGAGCTCGGAGACAAATTTTATAACAAAGCTCGTAACATTTTCGTCTTCTTCGCGATTTTCCCCTATTTAAAGCAATAATTTTATTATTTCAACGAGTCGTTAAAGCATATTGTAATACAAACTGCGGATGAATTATTAAAATTGAACGTTACCTATGTCGTTGCTCGAATTTCCTGCAATTCTGGCTTATTGGAATTTGAATTTTCATTAAAATATGCCGTGCGATTGTGGAGAAAGGCAAAATTTTTAATTAAAATATGCAATATAAATTGACAGTGCAGCTTAAGCTTAATCGTTTATATGAATCAAACGTGATTTCAAGATCTGTCCAAATACAACTTGGTCAATTTTTCTTAATAATTATGACGAATAATTTTGTTTTTTGTATAATAATAAATAACAGCTTGTAATTATAGATAAATTTATTATAACAGATTTTAAAAATTTCATAACAAATAGATAAATTGTCATTTGTTTCGATTTACTTTATACTTCATGGACCATGACAATAAATATAACGCAATGGTTTGAAATAACAGTTTCACAATGCTTGAATAACACTTTTTTTTTTTTACAATTTTTCTTTACTAATTGTTAAAAATAATTTCTGATATTTAGATTATAAAGTGTATATTATTTCCAGCTAAAATTCTAGCTAAAATTTTAATACTACTTAGCTACACAGGAATATAAAAATATTGTCAAATTATTTAATAATAAATATCATCATAAAAGCAATTTTTGTTAAGTTTATTTCAAATTTATAATTGTTATTATATGAAGATAAACAGTAATTTTGAAATTATCATAAACTATGAATATTTATTATGAAAATTTGTTTAAAATCACTGCAAGTATTATTATAAATACACACACTGTTGCCAATGAATTGCATGTGAATTAAAAAAATTGAAAAAAAAAAAAAAAATAAATAAATACGATAAAAAAAATAATAAATGCAATTATTTACAATTATTTGCCAAAGACAATTAGCTGTTATAAATTATCTCTGCTTATTTGATCCTAAAGTAACGAGATTTATAAAACCCTATGTCATACATTTAATAATTCAAAAACAAAAATATATATGTTAATTACAAAAATTTTGTACGTATATATAATCACAATATTTTTTTACTGCATTCTTGTTTTTCGTTTCTTTTTCTTCATTTAATTTTCATTATTAGGCGTTTAAATTATCAAACGATTCTTGAAACTAAGGATATTAACAATCAGTTTCTAACGTTAAATAAATAGAATTTTATTCAACTAAATACATTGAAATTGCCTTTCGTAAGTTTACGAGTTTGTAATGGGCATTGAAAATTATTTACAATAATTTTGGACATCGTTTAATAGAATGGAATATAAATGCAAATTGAAAAAGTAAATTGACAATAAATCAACGGGTAAATTTTAAGATTTAGAATATAAGGCATTTAGAATTTACATAAAATAGATTATTAACGCTCGGAATAATATTGCAAATGAATGCCTCATTATGCATACGATTGCAATTGATTTTCTGTACAATCAACACGCATATGCAAATAAATGTACAATAAACATTACGAATGGCAGTTGAAATTGCTTGTTTGTTTGTTTGTTTTGTTTTTGTTTTTGTTTTTGTTTTTTTTTTTTTTTGCTTTTTCTTTTGCAAGTCGTAAATGCTTAATTAATATCATCTAAATATATGTCAAATGATTATAAACGAATTGAGCATCAAATTTCGTAGCAGTTGGCTGCCCTTTTCTTATCGGACAACAGATATCCTTGACTTATTAGACTTATTACATTTGCAGAAATATCATTCAAAAATGCCTGAACACGATATAAAAAGAATTATTAAGCTCGATTAATTCATCGAATAAGTAATATTATCAAATAAGTATGAAAACTATGAAACGTTCGGTTCCTTTGTTCATAATCGGTTTTACAATAATTATACTAAATGATAAAGTAACTCGGGCAATTATTAGAATATAAAATTTATAAAACATTGTCGCACGAATCCTAAAAGATTTTATTTGAATAAAGCTTCACAATTATCGTTATTATTACTTTTAATTAAGTTCTCTACAGTCCCGAGTCACAATTGTACAGCTCGATCTCTTCATCCACTACATTAATGCTGAGATTTCTAAGTAAACCGCACTCCCGCTAATAAATACTATTCTGTACATATAACACATAAAAGTATTTCGTTTGCACGACTATTTATAACTAGCGAGGTGACTAATCATTTTGTACCCATTAAAAGCGATAGCTTATTTCGTATCATTCATACAGTGATCGATCAATGTGCGAAAGAAATTCAAATATTTATTGTCCACTTTTCATTGATCCCTTTATCCGGATATTATTACACTTCCCATATATACAGCTGAGATTTACATCTAAGATATGCATAATATCTTTGCGGCCGCCATGCTATTTCCGTTAGTGGGCTGCTAGTTTGAGCAAAGCAACAATTACAACGTATATAATGCACGAAAACCTAGTCTCAGCTGTACAACAACAACAACAACAACAACAACAACAACAACAACAACAACAACAACAACAACAACAACATCCAACGGGCATTTATTGTCATAAGTTCCTGAATAAATACGTCGTTTTCTTAACAATGTGATAAAATTAATTGCGACACCGCCTGCTCGTCCCGTCCCGTCCTTTCTCCCTTTCAACTTTCAATCAAGCTCTCGACGAACGCAGCAGCGACGTTAAGGCTCGCAGTTAAGGTCGATATTCGGCGGTGCTCGACTCCTCATCGTAGACATCATCATAGAAGCTCGTACTGACTGAGCAGTACGTAGATGAGGATCCAGACGACGAGGGCGACGATCATGGAGATGAGAAAGAGCGTCTTCAGGTAGTGCCAGGGACTCTCGAGCCGGTGATCCGGCCAGATCTTGGTGACGGCGCTCTTGCAGGCACCGCTGTGGCAGGGCACATCCTCGACGACCGGTACGACCCCTGCCACGACTTTCATTTCGCCGAGCTCCGTGTCGCCCGTATCCCGGGTGTTGCAAGACTTGGATAGGCCGCCCAACCTTCCTGGAATATCCATCTGTGGGCAAGTGGAAGGGCGTAAGATTAATATCACGCGCTGATCATTTCTAATTTCGCTAATTTCTAAATTCGCAATAGCTACATTCGTCATATAGATTCTTTTTTATTTTATATTTCTTTTGTTTTATTATTATGTGCAGGATTTTGTACACTGTTGTGCGCTTTTACGGAATCAATACAAATGTGCGTAAGTTTTATTTAACGTCGTACGCGCATTGGACTGTGCATTTTAAAATCGGTATAGACTTAAGATTTGCCAAGATCATTTAGATTAAATTAGTTATTTTTCAACAATTGTATTTTAGATGCCTCATGTTAATTAGATTATTGATTAGTATTAAAAAGTAGAAGAAATGTAATTCTTGCGAAAGGAGTGATAGCGTTCATATATTTCAAATACATCTCGTATGATTTTTTGTTATTTAGATTTCATTATTTTCAAATTATTTCCCAGCAGCTTTCAGTAAATTTGCTAAATATACGTCAAATCTTGATAAGTGAACGATCCTCTCTGCAAAAACGCGATATAAAGAATAAATACAAGATTACGAAAGATAAATATAAACACTCGTTGCTCTACTCTTAAAATTTCTATTATTTCATAGAAGTCTTTGATTAAAGAATGAAAATAATTTTTAAAATTAAGGGTATAAATTTCATCTATAAATTTCATTATTATTCGGGAAAATGTTGGGGTCAAAAGTATTGCAATATTTGATTTGATTATATTTTGATTAAATGTAATTGTATTTTAGATATTTTAGATATAATTAATTTATATAGAGCATTGTCGTAATATATAAATAACATTGTATACAGAATGTAAATATTGGTAAATTCTAATATTATTTAAACTTTTAGAATATTTCATGATAGCGATAGATTATTTCATTCATTAATTATATATTATCTCTATATAATCGAGATAATAATAATTCAAGAAATTTTAATTTCGTTAAAAGTATTAATTTACAATATTTTTAAATTTCTAACACACACACGCGCATATATATATATATATATATATATATATATATATATATATTTAACGACTAAGACATTTTTTATTAAGAAATTTATGTTTTAATAATACTCAAGATTAATCATTTTAGTAAAAAATTTTGTTTCGCATAATAATAAATATTATTTTTTTTTTCAATAATACTTTAAAAACATGGAAAACTGTAATCACTCGCGTTTTATCGGTAGCAGAAAAAATAAGACTTTTTCAATATTTTACAGTTTCAGTATATTATTTACAGATAAAAAATTTTACCAGTACTTGTTCGATCGAAAATTCTTAGAATATAAATAAATTCTGTAAAACAACTAATTATATTCGCCATAGGATTTTTGTTTAAGTTTCAATTCTTAAGTACAATCGAGATACGATGGATCTTTAATGAAACAAAATTAAAAAAAAAAAAAAAAAAAAAACATACAGTTTAGCAGTTTAGCAAAATTAATAAATCTTTTATGAATACAAAAGGTTTATAGTTTTAACAAATATAATTAATATATAAAAATTAATTCTAGTATACATTTAAAATTACGTAAAAATAATAATAACTTGACACTTTAATTATATTTTATGTGATATATAAATAAATAGGATTGTTAATAATTGTATTGCTTCCATCAATATATGCTATATATTTTTATTTATTGTTAAATTTATGTATCGCGTGAAATTTCCGAGATTGTAATAGTTAGAATAAGGCATAATAAAAATAAAATAAAATAATAAAATAAAAATGTTATTCATTGATTTGGAAAACTTCTCGGAGCAGACAAGATTTAATATTGCCTGTGTGAGTTATTTTTTATTATTTTTTATTTTTTATTTGATAAAACAAAGATATTTTAATCAATATATATATACATATATATATATATATATATATATATATATAATTGCGTGAAAATTAAATTGTAAATATAAAAATTTCGTGCAGTTGCTTTAGCTTCTATTTAACTAAAAATCAATCATGTTACATGAGCAATTTAAGTATAAATTCTCTAATTTCAATATTAAGTTATATATTTCAATTTTTAAGACTACGGGGAATTTCTAATTAAGTGACGCCACGAATAATAAATCGAGCATTGAATTTACAAATATAAAATACGAGATGTAATAAAAGTCATTGCATTTCAGAAAGTAATCTAACGTATTTATATACGTTCGTTTAGCAATTTTCATGTATTACAACTATTCCGTATTGTCTATTCCATGATTTTTCGTCAAAATAATTCTAATCACTTTTTTCCTCTTTATAAATCAAAATTAATTTTCTACTTTGCACCGTTATTTTTAACATATTATTTTATGAAAAATTGTCAATTTGTTGGAAGACGATAAAAAAAATGTTGTTATGTAAATTCAATAAAATGATTGTATTTTCTAGAGGCAAATAAAAAAAAAAAAAAAAAAAAAAAAAAAAAAAAAAACAATCATTTTCACAAAAATCATCGAAATAATTCTAATTTGACTTATTCAAGAGTAAATTATGCGAAAGTATGCTTAATGCGATACAATCTGTATTATTTTCAAATTGATCAGAGTTCCTGGACAATAGTCAAAATACCACAAAATTTCATAGTTTGTAAAATCATGGAAATTAAAGAAATTTGTTAGTTTTGAATGTTATCTTAAGAAGAAGAAAAAGAAGAAGTGGAAGAACCGTTAGTTTATTGCAATAATCTTACTGGAGGATTTATGTTGTTAAAATTAAACAACTCTTGCCATAAAATTTTTATCGACAAATTATGTATGCGAATTTCGTATGAATGCCAAAGTCTCCTATTATTATTATTATTATTACGTGTTCTCGACAATATTGTACTACCATAGTACTAGACATACCTCTTTATTAGGCACATTACATCTGTAACATTATTTCTATCTCAAATCGGAAATCTTTAACAGCAACATTAGCGATATGTCTTGAAATAATTTGCCGTAAGGAAAAACTGGCGTCGATCAACATCGATATGGAAAAAGAAAAAGAAACGAAGAGAAAGAAAGAAAAAGCAAAAAAAGAAAAAAAGAAAAACAAATGCAAAAGCAGTTGTTGATTATACGACAAATTCACGATTTAAGATAACTAAACTTCAAAGCACATTGTCCTTATATGCGTGTAGAATACGGACATTGGCGTAACAGAGTTTCGTAGTAAGCAACATACTTGGATCGCGCTCTCACAAACTTTCGTTACACACAAAGTAACGGCACATCAAATCAGCCCAGCATTATCAGCATCTGACCCCCATCCCGTAGCTGATATGGCAACTTTTCCAAATTATTATACCACGGTTGCGCCGTGCTTCCTAGATTTCCTCCATTGTAATGCCGAAGGTCGAACGACTGAAGCGTGGATATCGAAAGGCAAATCGCGAGGCTCGCAATGGTAAGCCACGCCACGGCGCGACGAAGCGTCTAATCCACGCACGACCAAACGTCTGATCTACACACGACGAAACGCGGAACTGTTATCAATTCGCACGAAGGAAAACTCTGGCATGAGCCTATGCGCGAAACGTTGGTAATTTCCTTCGTTCGGGCCGAAATGTGGCGCTCGACTTACTTAGCTGCTGAATCGCGATACTATGCCGGGCACAGCAAGACCGTTATACCTAATCATATCAATAACTTTGTCTCTTTCCTTTTTTCCTCCACGCTCTACATCTTATTGATGATCGTGAAATCGGCCACACACGCACGCACGCACACGCGCACGCACGCACGCACGCACGCACGCACGCACACACACACACATGTATATGGGAGGCCGAACTTGTTAATTGTCAAAAAGAAGCCTCGGTCTGTGCAACATCTCATTGGCTGCCGTGATAGAAGGGAATTATCCGATCAGGCCGATGCCATCAACGAGCTACAACGATCAAGTAGGAACTGACTAGTTAACGTGAGAGGCTGTCAGAGGACAGTACTGCTATCAATTGTTATTGGAACTCGACCCTTCGTTCCTCTCATGCGCGCACGCACGCTTCAGTGCTTTAAATTATTTGTTTAAATGAGGCTGCATGCGTGGACGCGTGAGTAGGTGGGTGAAACGAGAGAGTAATCGGTTAAGTATTTCTGTGGATTTTATTTTTATTTTTTTTTTTTGCCTTTTTCTTTTGTATACGAATTTGATGTTGAAACTTTTATCGTTATTGGCCAGTGGAGATAAGATCGCTTTGAATCGTTTGATAAAAGCTTATATCGCAAGATTAATCTTTATGGGGAAATAATTGTTCATAAATTGTACAAAGCCAGGCAAAACGAGAGCAGCGCGAGAGAAGACTTTGTTCGCGTACGAAAATATTGGCGTATCGTATTATTTATTATTCTTGTTATTTTTACATTTTGCCATTAAACTTTATCATTTAAACAAAAAACCAATAATCTAAGGGCAATTGGAATTGTGCGTTAAAGAATTAAATTTTGATAATTATAATATTCATTTCATAATATTGCCTAAGCACTATTATTTTTGTTATACAAAGAGAACAAAAAAAGAAAGATGAAAAGCAGATTAAAAAGTCAATTGTCAAGTAATATGCCATTTGAAATTTTCATTAAGAAATTGGATTTTCGTGCTGGAAACATTAGTGTTTACTATGGTATTATAGTTTACTCGTGTGGTTATTTAATGATCCTATCTTTATTTAATGAAACTTATTTCTACAAGTTAATAATGCTAAGAAAATTGAAAAATTTTATTTATTCAAATAGGTGAAGAAAGCGGGAGATGATAATGAATATTTTAATAAACTTATTCACCAAGCTCTAAGATACTAACAAACTATTAAACTTTTCATAAAGCCGAACTTTATTCCTATCGATTATTTATCATTCGGCATACATCAAATTAATATGAGATTGTTGTATTTTCACTTTCAAGATTGTAAGAGTGTAAGCAACTACCAGTTTTAATGCCTAATATATAATCTTTAGGCAATTGATATATATATATATATATATATATATATATATAAATTATGCTTTTAAAAATTAAAAAAAAAATTTTTTACGTTCAAGCATTTTACGCCATTTTATTCTTCATTAATTTTCCTTTTCGACTTATCAACCTATTCGACTTACTGCTATTACTAATGCTAATATACGTATAAGAGATTTTGATGATATATATGTTGCTATTCTTTTGATAATTTGTTATATATACACACGAACTATTTTATTTTTGAGTAAAATTTATTAATTTATTGATATTGTGTTTGAATTTCTTTATTATACCGATGTATTTAAAAGTTGAAGTTTTATGTCGTAATTTGCAGTCAGTGTATTTGAAATACTTAAAAACAATAACACTCGTAAATTGTAATTTTCTTATTATCATATTTATCATTATTGTTCTTATTTAGAACGTTTGAAAAGTTTTTCTTTTCTTTTTAAGGATAATCAATAAATTACCGTTAATTTTATATTTTATAATACAATTAATATTCACGATATTTGAATCGTTTGATTTGATTAGCCGTAATGCATTGATAACACTTATAGGAAGGGATATAATGCGGTTTTGTATAATATAAAAAAAAAAAAAAAAAAAAAAAAAAAAAAAAAAAACATTTTGTCCTATTGCGCTTACACAATCAGTTCCGACTTATTTCTACGAGCGCATAATTATCGAATTGATTAATACTACTTTACAATGGGTGCCATCTGTCATTGCATTGAACGATTCTTTGAATATTTTATGATTTATTTTTATACATTTTTCCAAAGAATTTGAAGATGCGCAGCGACCAAGTCGCGATAAAAAAAATGACACATACGACACAAGTCGATATGAAATTTGTATTGTCTTATCGCAATGTAATTATCTGCATCGATTGACACTGATCTGATAATAATTATGTTATATATGCGCGCACACAGATATACGCGTATGTACGTATGTACGTATGGACACACACGCGCGCATATAATCATATTATCATACATGTATTTATGTATGTAAGAAATAGAGGAGAAAGCTAAGTTGTATCGTAGTTGAATTGCGAGCCTACCATCGAAAGTGAAAGTATAAAGCGAGGAAACTTTTCAAGCGTTTAAAGCTCGCTCAAACTGTAAAGTCAAACTTCATATGCACATTAAAATCTAGATCAATGTATTTACAAAACACGCATAACAATCAGTGCATTTGTATAATCAAACGATTTACTCAGTTGTAAGACGCATATCTTAACTGATCATTAGAAATGTAATTATCAAAAGATTAATCCGTGACCTTGTCTACGCAAATCTTTATATAAAAATATTCGTGCCTTCGCTCGTTAAATGCATATACTTTTACCATTTTTATTGGTCCCGATAATCCTTCTAAAGGGTGCTCAATTTTTTTTTTTTTTTTTTTTTTTTTTTTTTTTTTTTTTCGTCTATTTAGTCTACATAGTCCTAGACGTATTTATTAGCTTTGTATTGTCCCATATTAAGTAGGCAATAATCGTTGGATAGTTGTGAGCGAAAGCTTGGTTTTTAATGGGAAAATGTCAAGGGATTTTCCCATCATCATCGTTAATTATATTGCGTTACTTTCCCAAATGAAAAAGGGAATTATTAAACCTTATCGTTTTTAAAGTGTCGTCTCTTGCATTTCATGGTTAGTATGCTCATCCCCATCACCACAATGTATCATTCTGATTATATAATTACATTTATTATCCATTGAAAATATGATAAAACTAAAGATGTTATGTTTGCAATGCTCCAACCACTAATCCGAGCATAAGTCGTAGAAATTAATTTTTAAGGAATCTAATCATTGGCTTATTATGCATTGCCGTGTCACAATTATGCGACATGTTCGTAGCAAAATAAGATCGATTTTAATTAGCCAACTTAACAATTACGATTCAAATAATTGCTCGCGTGCAATTATTCTTGTCGGCACAATGTGGCCAAATATCTTTGTCATATATCTATTTTGAATTCTAACGCAATTAATTGGTCACCATCGACAATCTACCTCCTTCTCTCAATGAAATTACCTCTGTCGCTTGCGACAACTTAACTCTGCATCTACCGTTACTTTCCTTCTGCATTCCACGAGATTTAAATAACATAAAGTAAAACAAAAACAGAAAAACAAACGGGACCAACGTAATGTAGGTAGTGAGCTTGCGCAGCAACAAAGGTCCGACTGCCTAATCGTGCCCATTCAATTATGTCGACAAATTGCCTTAAATTAGGAAAAATCGTCCCGAGCCGAAGGAGCGATTGCAACTACACGGCTAACAATGGCACGATAAATGCGCAACGTTGCGCATGAAAAAGCCGTAATGCGGCTAAGCCTCAAACCGCAGGAGGGGAAGATTATTTTTTTTTTTTTTTTTTTTTTTTTTTTTTTTCTTAATCGACTTGCGTCGTAAAAGCAACGGTTCGCAGATAATCGCGATAATGGCTCTCACGATACCGCGATTCATACTTCGCGTGGCGACTAATGAGAATAGGTTTGTCAATTTGTTTTGTCAATCGAAGCTGATAACGTTTACTATGTGAGACAGAGGCAGATGTAGTTTATAGTTCTATAGTACTACTACTGTACTAATTGATAATAGGTTGGTTTGGTGCTGTGTAGATAATAATATTACGCTCGTTTCGTATGCCGCGCTTCCTGTTTTTCTTTTCTTTTCTTTTTTTATCCTCTTTTCTTCGTTTATCGCAACGAAGTCGACAATTTACCTTAACGCGCGACGTTTTTCCACTTGTATTCCCGTCTTTTTTTACAAATTAGTCAATCCGTTCCTTTGACTTGTTAACTTGTTGTTTTAATAATAGCGCGTGCAATTACGAAAAGAGGAAAGAGATTATGAAACTTAGATGCTTTCTACGCGCACAGATAATGCAATCGTTCAATTGTTTGGAAAACAGCGCTGAGAAAGTTATTTATTATTGATTATTTCAATCGAACACTTATGGATATTCTCGCAGATTCGCAATAATGTACTCAACGAGAGTTTCGCGTAGATTTTTTGTTTGGTCGCTCAAAGTGGTCGTTCAAAAGTCGAGACGAGTCAAAGATTCTGGTATTCGAAGAGACAGACAGACAGACAGACACATACACACGCGCGCGCGCGCGCACACACACACACACACGCACATTGAGAGAGAGAGAGAGAGAGAGAGAGAGAGAGAGTGAGTGAGAACGATTGCGACTTTGAGGGACGGGAGTAAATGAGACAAACGACATATTATAAGCATACGAAATAAGCTGTTTTATCTAGCGCTACTGGCAAAGTTTCGCAATTAACAGAATAAGTAGAAGCGAGTGGACTCGTTCATTGGGGAACTTATTAACTCATCCACGACACGCACAAGTATTTTCATTCATTGGGAGATTAATATTTGGAATTAGTCGACGCCACCGAGTATGATACTACGAGCGATCGATCCTGCCTGTGCGCAACATTCGAAAATACCAGACGAAACAAGATGCTCGAGGTACACTCGCGTCTCCCATACGGGATTAGAGTTCGATCAAACGACATGTTACGTAAGTGGACTAAGCAGAAATTTCAAAGAAAATTCAGCTTAACTCGGGTGTCCTCGACTTTCTAAACCAGCTTTACATGCGACTATCGGCATCTTTCGATTCGCCATCCTTCCCGCGCTTTCTCTCCCTCGTCCCCGACCCCACCCCACGTCGCGCGCACACAGCCACCCGTCCCCGTGGCCTCCTCAACGCAAAAAACGAGGAAAGAACCGAGGCGAGTAATAATAAATAATAGGGAAAGGGACAGGGAAGGAAAAACAATAGCAAAAAATAAGGAAAAGAATGCAGCCAAGGGCCGTTACCTGCTGGGGATGCCAAGTGTGTTTGAAAAAGCTCTTGAAGCACCTCATGCTCGCGGTCGTGCGCTCTTCCATAAAGGTAAGCTCGAGCAAGCGGTCCCGGAGCAGCACGGCCTCCTCCTCAGTCGCTGTCCATCGCGCGGCACCCACGACCGGCCACGCCAACTAACTGCCCTCGGCGATAACCCGATAGCCGAGACTGTGACCAGAGAGGACCAGACACCGACCCTGACCGAGCGGCACCGAGGCGCAGTGCTCGCGCGCTCCACGAGCAATGAGCGATCGCGACTAGGACGAGCGACTCGCTCCAGCAGCCGCTGCGCTCTCGGTGCCACTAACGTCGGGGTCTTCCATCACTTCGTCGCTTTAGGCTTCGTACACAAGCGGCTCGCCGAGTCCCGATATCTCCTCTCACGCTCGTACTAATTTATCCGAATCATCGATTCTGTGTGCGCGACAGTCCCCGGTGGGTTAGCAAGCATCGACAATGCGATCGGCCGTATCCTTCGTTAGAAGATGCCTCCACCAGTTCTCCGATATAACGCTTTTCAACGAACAAATTAAATGCCCAATTTGCATTGTTTGGAAAAATTTGGCCAAATTCAAATCAAGTCAGCGATAGTTGTATTGGTGATGATGTAGTTCTTATTTTGGAAAGTCGTCGACTTACGTGCCTTGGGAGACGAAATTGCAAATCTAGCGATGTAGAATGCATAGACGCTCGTTGGCATTTTCATCGCAAAATTTCTCATTATGATCGTCGGCTTTGAATTAATACCTTTTTTTTAGTTGGTCAGCGAGAATTGCATCAGCCAATAGCATGGACGAATCTTAAAATTCGCGTTAAAATTTTTTTTTTTTTTTTTATATTATTGATAAGGCTCGACGGAGCCATGCACATTATTCCGTAAAACTTATAATTCGATAATTCCTGTACATTTTATTACGATTTCTTTAATTTATCCTTGTTTCCTTTTTTTTTTTTTTCTTTTTTTTTTTTTTTTTTTTTTTTTTTTTTTTTTTTTTTTTTTTTTTTTTTTTTTTTTTTTTATTTTAATAATTGCGCGACTATAGTTTAACGATATTAAAATTTGTAAATATAAAAAGTTTCGTACGTAGAGTATTAATGGCATATGTACGTTTACGAATATTAATGATTAGACGCTTGAGGCAATAACTTTTGTCGGAATAACATAAATTTCCTTAAAATTATTTAAAAGCAATTGAACTTTCATTCAAATAGCATTCACTTATGTTTCAATTTTGAAGTTCTGTAGAATTAAAACTATTTCATTTAACTCACTAAATGTATTTTTTCAAGTATTTGATCAGTACCATATCAGTAATACTTAAAATGCCTTTAACAGGTATTTTGGCAATTAAATGATCTTTAAGACATGTAACTATTTTATAAATTAATTTCTCTCTCTTTCTCTCTCTCTCTCTCTCTCTCTCTCTCTCTCACTCTATGTTGCAATAATCTAATAACAGCTCAATACGTTACGTTAGAATTAACTTTTTCTTAACTATTTAATTATTTGTGATAAAAAAAAAAAAAAAAAAAAAATATATATATATATATATATATATATGTGTGTGTGTGTGTGTGCGTGTGTGTGTGTAATTTCTGATATATATATTTTTTTCGAATAAAACGACTATATAACTTTAAGCTTAAAACGAATCATGGATCAATTTCACTTGAAAATATACTTGTCATCGTTTCACAAAAGTTTTACGCAAAAAAAAAGAAACTTTATAAAAATGTAAACTGCACATGTACGGATATCATTTTTCATTTACATTTTTTCCCTTAAATTATTGAACGTGTACTTTAAAAATTATTATTCAATCTTAGAATATGTACATTTATCATTAAAATTCCCCCATTACGATACCAGTGAATAAAACATGTAATAATTGCATTTCTACTTACTAATTTTATTTAAAAGTGAGATATTAATTAAAAAAAATTGTTTGGAAAAACCTAATCAATAATAGCAAATGTTTGAGTTTCTTGAATAATAGTTTTTCAATCGCTATTTATTCATAAATTGACATAACATTAAATTTAAAAACAGAAAGTAAAATTTTAATTTAATTTAATTAATCTTGCTTTCATCAAGCTTTAACATTGTCAATCAGCATATATTATAGCGTATAGAAATATATATTTTTTAACATTTAGAGCAACTAAAATAATAATAATACGTGCAATTACGCGAATATTATATTAAGTCTTACTATATTCATTATATAATACAGTTATAATTGGTATACTTAAAGCATCATCTGAAGATTTAAAAATAAAAATTACTTCATTACGTATACGCGAGAGTAGAATATGATTGATTAACACTTCTTTCACTAGTAATTATTTATTAAAAAATGCTTACAAAAACTTAACGACAAATGAATAATCTTATTTATAATTTTCTTGCATATAATTACGGCGATTTTCATTTGTCAAAACTTTTTCATAAAAATTACTTTGACATTGAGTGTTATATATATTATTAAGCAAATTTAATATTTGAAAGGATATAAGAAAATTCATTTATGGTTTTACTAATTTTTAATATTTAATATACTAACGTTTTGCAGGTTTTGTTCTCTTATTTTTTTTTTTTTTTTTTTTTTTTTTTTTTTTTTTTTTTTATTGTCTTAACAATGTCAAAACTTATAGATCCAAGGTCGTAGAAATACTAAAGGTATTTCAAAAATGGAACAAACAAACACTTTTAGGCTGATAGTAAATTATCAATTATTCATCTTTAATTTAAATTTTATTTCTTATATACGATATGTATAAAGAAAATGAAATAATTGTGTATAATAAATAATGTAAGTTCAGTGATAATAAGTCTAGGGAAATACTAGAATTATAAAAATATTTAATTAGCCTATTTTCTACGTCAGGAAAATATTTTATTATTTAAAAAGCAATAAAATAAATTGTTTTAATATTAATCGAAGTAGAAATATATTAAAATTCATCTAGCAAACGTTAATTAATATACATCACTTAAGCAAGGAAACCTACACAAATTTATCTATTCATATATAAAAAAGGATAAAATAATAATAAACTATATTTAAAAAAATTTTACACAATTAAGATTAGTATAAAATATTTATAACATAACGTTACAATATATCGTTAAATATACTTGCATTTTAATTAAATTTAAAGTAATTTTTGAATCAAATGAATGACTTAAAAATACTGAAATTGATTTAATTTGTTTATACCAATATTTTAATTTAAAATATTTTTATTTTCATAAAAATATTTCATAATTACGTGGCCTTATAATAATTAATTTAAATAATGTAATATACAATAATATTATTAGATTTTTATTTAATGATTCATGTGTGAAAAATGATCGTTTCAATTATGCAACGTTCATGTGAAATTGTCTTAAAACAATCTTGCAGCTTCACAAAAATTACACAAATACCATTATATCATTCATAATTGGAGAAATAATAAATGAAAGTCTAAAATTTGTGTACCAAAAATTTTTATGCATAGACATAATATCGATATTTTTCAATTTTAAGCAACAAAAATTTATCTGCACAATAATTTTTAAAATCTAACAATTCCTTTTAATTACATTTGGTTGTTATATCTACCTTCATCGGTATTTCGTCGATTATTAAAATTTTAATCGTATCGACATTTCTAATAATTACCTATTTTAATCAGAAATTAGAGAAAAAATTCATGATTCCTTATTAATTGCCAAGTATAATTGCAGAATAAATGGTATAAAATTTGTAAATATTTGATTAATAATAAATGATGCCTTAAGACTCTTTGAAACTATCGTCTCTTATCAATACTAATTTATATTAATTACAAAAATTAGTTCTACGTTTTTGCTTCATTGTACAACAACACAAAATAAATTAGACTATTTATGTAAGTATTATTGATGGTCAGTTAACATTATTTAATGATAAAATAATAGGCGAGTACCAATGACTAATGATAAATCTGTACATTGTAAAAGAATCAGGAAGTTATTAATACTTATTTAAAAGAAGATAATATTACAGGGGAAAAAGAGGTGGGGCAAGACATAGGCAGACAGAAAAGTATACGATAGTTTGTTGATATTTCTCGTTATCACATTTTCTAATAAATTTACACGTAGGTATGATAAAACATTACTATAGTATGCAAAACAAAAAATTAAATGAAAGCTTCAATCATTTTCTCTCTCAAATGTTAAGGCATGCTAAGTAATACTTTATGAAATACGTTATTATGGATGTTATTTCTTAATGGTGAAGTTATGGTAAGTCAAATTATTCAATCCTTTTTCGTTTTTGAATTCAGCCTTAAGAATAGATGATTTTGGACTGCCAATATATTGAAGCCAATTTTTCCTAATGAAAAAGAAAATAATGAAATAACATTTATTAATTAAGGATGAATCGACAATGCATGTGTGTGTTAAAAATTGCTTTTAACTTAATTGAATAAAATTGTATAATAATTATAATTATGAATAACCGATATAATAAGATTGTAGTTATTTCATATTTAATTTTCAGTGGCATTTGATGCAAGAATAATGATATCCTACCAAGTCCAAATAATATCAATATACCTGCACAAGGATAATAATTTATGATTAAATTTTAAAGTATTCTGCATTTAAATATAATGTTTAATTTTATTACTCTATAGTGCTCAACTTCATAAACTGGACTCGATTGTCTTATTTTATCTACTATGTTTAAAATTTTGTTAAAATATTAAAGGATTTAACTTACATTTCATCAATTTTACTCATATTCCCTTCGATGTAACCACGAACAGTTCCATCATTGGTATTCATACACCAACCATTTAATCCAAGCTCTTTCGCTTTCGAAGCAGTGAACTAAAGCAAAGAATCATTGAGTTATTTATTGCTTAAGAGTTATTCTACAAAGTAAAAGTTATTTTCTAAAAATGCTAATTAATGCGCGACTCCCGTGTATGCTTAGTTATCTGATGATATAAGAAGCTCGGTTGTTAAAGTACCATACAACATTGTCGTATTAAATTCTATAAAGCGACGTTGTACATATTTATGTAATATGGTTCGACAATCCAGAAAATTTATTATGTAATGCCTGCATATACAAAGTAAATTGAGAAGAGAAGCTGCATAATCGAGATGTTTATTGAAACGTAAGAACATTATGTGAAAATTTTTTTAATACAAGCATCGAATGATTAATTACATCGACATAGCATCGATTTTATAGCATTTAAGTATATTTTTGGCAGCTCTCTTACTCGATATCTTATTGATATTTCAATCATGAAATTTTACTCTTTTAACACGTGTAAAATGTACGTGAACACGTGTATAATTTGCTTCTATCTAAACAAATTTTCACACTTTAAAAGCAGTTTGCTAAATAGATATTTGAATTTGTCGCTCTTTCTAGTCGACGACCATCAGTTTTCAGTTTTAGAAACGAGAGTGAGCCACATTATGGATTTAATAACGCCAAAGTTGATAACGACTCAGTCGATAACAATATGTAGAAAATTCTTAAAATGCATTATACACTTTTGGATTTTCTTTTTTTAACGATTTTCTAAACAAGTAAACTTCGTCCTTCGTGTTATATAATATAATACCTTTCTGAAGAATACACCTGTGGAATGACAAAATACAAATAAATAAATAAACAAACGTGTATGTGCGCTAATGTGTAAATATATCCTAATATTCGTTATTTAATTAATTCCGTATTTCTATGGAAGTTTATAAAATTTTGTCTATCGTATACCTTGAACTTTGCCAAATACTTCGAAGTTAACTCCTATGGTAGTCATTTTTTCTTCAGGCGTCGCGTACTGCCGAATGAGAAGTAAAAAAATCAATATCAGAGACGAGTGAACCTCGAACTTTTTTAAAAAGTCGACAATTATCATTCTATTGTTATTCGCAATTCATTTGTAACAAATGAAGTTCTCAGCATATTTTCTCGTAAATACAACTACTCGAACGACTGGAGTTACTCGCTTAGTCAGTCGTAACCAGATGTCGCTGGTAGAGATAAATGAAAGAAAAGAAAAAAGAAAGAAAGAAAATGAGATTGGGAGCAACTATAGTAATAGTAATGTAGTATATTATAAAATGTAGGGCTATTATTGCCGTGCCTTTGTGTCGTTTGGAATTTCTTCATTAGCTCGTAATGTCTTCTTAAAGCCTCTTGTTTTCGCGCGCGTCGAGAGTTTTTCGTCGTCAGACATTATTGCCCGTTTCTCTTTTCCTTTCGTTTCTTTTCTTTACATCAGTGCTTTGCTACTAAAGGTTAATCATCGTACTAGTTGTACGGTTCGGATGCTTTGACAGGCTCGAGTGCAACCATAAAGAACATTTTCATTTGTCGACGAACAAACATCCAACACCTGCCCATATTAATGAGACAAGTGTGGACGATGCGCTTATTATTATTATTATTTTTTTTTTACTTACATATCGTATATTATTCGATCATTTTTTACAAATCATTTATGGCTTTTAACATACTCGGGCGTTAAGTTTTAACGCTCCTTCCTGGTGCGTACGAACATAAATTGCATTCTCATAATAATCAACCAAATGCGCTCAGATTTTGAATTCTTCCTTACGCACGTTCCACGCACTGAAATTCAAACCCCAACAAGCGATTGCTTAAGTGCATTATGAATTATTGCGTTTCATTTTCAAATACTTTTATCAATCGCTCATCAATAGTCCCACGACCTTCCATTCCTTCATGATTAGGGCACGTTCGATAATCAGTACGATCGGCGCGATTATTATTATTATCCCATCCCATTGAT